CTATGCTGCAGCCTGCTGATTGAGTGATGGAGTGTTTTTCCTTGTCCAAATCCACGGTGGGGAGGAAGGGGGGAAGAATTAGAGCAAATTAGAATTAATCAGAAATAATCTCCCAGTTTACGATTCTGGTGTGGAACTGTTTCCAGGCAGACTTGATTAATGTCCTCTAGAATCACCACATGACACCGACACACAAGCTCTCACATAAGAACAAAGTAAGAGAGAAGTAAACCTGCACATGCTTTGGTTAGCGGTGCAGCTCCTGAGCATGAAGCTCAGATTTAGTGTTTCTTTGGCACATAAAACATACACACACACACACACACACACACTAATGATTTTTTTTATATCTTTCAGCTGAGCAGTGTTAGGTTGGAGTGCTGCATGTGAAGTGCAGGCACCTGTGGTGTCAATAGTCTCCCCCTCTCTTGACTCACCCCTGTTCCTTTTTTCATTTCCTATCTTCTACGTCTGAATAAAGCCCTTTTTCCCCCTGCTTCTGTTGCACATATGTATTTTCTCACCTGCTTGGTTTCAATAAGCGCCCTCCTCTCGTGGGTCATAAATATGGAGTCAGGCTGCTAATGATTTCTGTTCTGTAACAGCAGTAAATACAGCAGTAAATACAGCACAAGGGGTTTTTTTTCTGTTTCCTTTCAAAATCCACTTCATAATTTCTGCTCAGTGGTCTGAGTCAGATCACTGGATAGAAAGAAACACAAACCTGGTGAGGATCGTTTGAACCTGATGAATGACCTACCTGAGATGTTAATCTGATTTATCTTATATTCAAGTTGATATTTGAAGTTAATCTTCAGTCTATTGTGGTTAATATTGAATTAAAGCTCCCTGGGGATTTTTCCAATTCCATTTAAGCACAAATGCACTAATAATTTTGGAGAAAGAAAAGTTGAATGTGGTTGAATAGTTAATTGCTTTAAGGTGGATTTTTAACATTAACATTGTTTACCTCAAGAACATGTCTGTTTGTTTGACCAAACTTTTTCCGGGGTGGATACAAAATAACAATGTCAAACTGAGGGCTAACCCTGAGGGCTAACCCTGAGGGCTAACCCTGAGGGCCTGAGGGCTAAACCCTGAGGGCTAACCCTGAGGGCTAACCCTGAGGGCTAACCCTGAGGGCTAACCCTGAGGGCTAACCCTGAGGGCTAACAGCACCTGTGATACTTTAAACTGTAACTCCTTTGTATATCACCAAACAGAAAAGGTAAAAAAAAAACACCCCAGAAGTAAACACACAATTTACCTAAGAAAACTGTCAACTGTAAAGTAACCAAATTACATATAATGGGTTAAATGTCTCCTAAAATTAGTTTAATTAAAATTATAGATAGGGTAAAAAAAATCTTTACCTTCATAACTAGCCACAACTACTCTTCTCGTGAATTGCCCTCCATGAAAATACCCCACCAGAGCAACAGTAGCACATTTAGTTTTTGTGTTTAAATAAACAAAGCATGTCACAGTGCCACAGTTGGCCCCCAGGCCAGACTTTGACCACCCCAGACAGGTATGGTGATGTGAGAGATGTTTTATTCCAACATGTCACTCTAATACCAGTGTTGCTAAATCCCACTCCCATGTGAGACTTTGATAAAGCCAAGATTATACTTTGAGGGATTCCCATCACTGGTTGCATTTTGGACCAAAGTAAAATTCCACAACACTGTAAACTCTTGTGACATGTGAGCATTAGCAGCAGCAGGTGGAGACGTTGGTTTCCACCCACATGCACTGACAAGCAGTAAAAAGCAGGTTCAGACGTGCATGTCCAGTCATGTCATAACAACTGAGAACCCATGTACAAGTGCTGTGTGTCACACGGACTGAACCCACGTCTCTGTTCACCGGATGGACATGGAGCATTATATGCAACATGTTAGCACACATAAAAGCATGATTCCTCTTAAAGAGGTCATCGAGCTAAAACTGAAGCTAACAGCAAATGTTTACTGAGTGAATAGGATGAGTAGGATATATATAGTTTACATGCATGAGAACTGGAATGAATCTGAGATCTAATCTCTGTCTGGTATTTTCTCTTTGGCGCTGACTACATGGAGGAAGCGACTTCATACAGACTTTGCTGTTGTGTTTGCTGATGTAAAATCTATGCATCTGATTCAACACAACTCGGTAGACAAGCAGAAAGCAGAAAAAAGGAAAAGTGAAAGACGAGTAACACAAATGGAGGAAGAACAACGGAGTTAAGTTACAAAAAAAAGTGACTTATGGGAGCGTGTGACAGGGTTGGTTTCAGAGGAGGCTCAAATTGGAAAACTATCCTCTCTCTCTCTCTCTCTCTCTCTCTCTCCCTCTCTTTTTCTCTTGAGTAAAAGCCAGATCATTCTCTCCAACCCAAAACAGCGACTCACAAAGAAACATTGTACACAGACACACAGGCATATTCACCACCCTCTGTCCACACACACACACACACACACACACACACACACAGTGGTTTTAATGGAAAAGGCCTGACAGTGGCAATAAAAACTT